AGCCCTTTTTGAGACAGGCCTCTTTAAATTGCAGAGGCTGGCCTCAAATTTCTGATTCTCCTGCCTCAGCCTCCCAGTCGCTGAGCTTACAGACGAGTGCCGTGTGCCGCTGCTCCCGCCTGCAAACCTTTTTTATTTAATTTTGAGACAGAGTCTCACTAAATTGCCCAAACTGTCCTCCCTCGTGCCTCAGCCTCCCTAGTAGCTGGGCTTAGAAGTGACCACACCTAGGTTCCATTTTCAGCACCACAAAAGCAAACAAACCAAAAACCAAATAAATAAATGATAAAATAGGGCTAGGAATATAGCTCAGTGGTCGAGCGCCCTTAGGTTCAATCCCAAGTAACGAAATAAGTAAATAGGTAGATTTGTTATTGAAATTTAAGTCGGTCTTTTGCGGCGACTGAGGCATTTTCAGAAATCTCCGCTGAAACCTTCTACGTCCTTAACCTCGCTCTTCAATGAACACTTTTCCCCAATCAGAAACTTGAAACTCTCTCCCAACTTCCTGAGGTCACTCGTTTTTCTAACACAGCCTAACTTCTTAGAACAATAAACAGATGTCCCCACTGCTCGGCCACAAAAGAGGGACTGTCCCCGCCCCGCAGGCATCGCTCGGCAGACAGGCAGAGCCCGGAGCGCAGTCAGCCGCGTAGCCCGACCTACGGCGAGTTCGCCCGGGTCCCGCCCCGTAGGCGGCGGGGGTTTGTTTTGGCGCCGGGCGCGCGCTGTGATGACGCTACCACGCTGACGCCGGAGGATAGTGGCGGCGGCGGCGGCGGCGGCGGCCGTGGCCGCGGCCGTGAGACGGTCCGCGGAGCCGCCAAGACGCCGAAGAGCCCGCCGCCCGCGCGAGGTGAGGCGGCCTGGCTCAGGGCGAAGGCCCGACGGGCGGGAGGGGCTGACGAGCAGCAGCTGCAGTCGTTTCCTGTGAAAACAGGGCCTCTCCCTGCACAGCCCGGATTCCCTTGTGCTCTGGGGCCTACCGGGCCGGGAGCAGGCCGAGCGATGGCAGCTCGGGGTCCCGGTTGTCTGAATCTGGCCTGGCCTTGAAACGTGCTGCAGTGCTGGGTAACCCACACTGGTGGGCCTGGTGGACCTGGTCAGCTGCCCTTATTGCGGTTCAGCGGTGTCGCTTCCAGTGTGGGTCAGATTGACCTAACCCCATGGCCCTCACTGCTTTGTAGTGTCCGGTGCCTACCTCACACCCYTACTTTGCTACTGAACACCAGGGTCCGGCGGGTCAACCGACCACTTCCTTGTACTGACGGGGGGGAAAAAGCAGGCCAGAGTCCAGCTATGTTGACTGCACAGCAGACTTGTCATTCCTGCAAGGGGAAAGCCAATTCTCCTCCGTGAARCTACTGAAGTTGAAAATCTAGTCTTTAACTTCCTATAACCGGCTCCTTTGTTACTGTAGTATATAAGCCACGCTTCTTAGTTTGAAGCATTCAGGGCTCTTCATAATCTGGTAGAGGCCTAATCCTACAGTCAACACCTGGGCACTTCTTCACTCCCTTTTCGAAATGTATGTTGTGGAAGCATGTTACTTCTATGGTTTCAAATCCTTGTAATTTAAATATGCAGATTTCTCTGTTGTAATACTCTTCCTTCCCATCCACCAATATGGGAAAAGTACATGTATTCTTTAAAGTCCATCTGAGTTGACATTTTCTTGGGAAAACTTGTTCGCATGTAATCATTGATTCCCCTTTGTCCATGCTGCTGCTGCGGAGTATATAATGTTGTGTCAAATATGATCTTACTTCTATCTGCATCTCTCTGGCTGTGTATCTGGCATAAGTAGGAGCTCCAGCAGCAGTGGTGTCTGCTGAATCTATTGGGATAGGTTACTGATTTATTAATGGATTCAGATTCAGCTATATTATTGAGCACCTGTCAGTGGCAGGGCCAGGATCTGAGATGACCACAGCAAACACCTATGTGTTGTAGGTGTGGATCTTCAACCTTGAAGATCCAAAATTTCTTTGGGTAGTTTTTTCTCTTTCTTTCTTTTTCTTTTTTTTTTTTTTTTTGGTACTAGGGATTGAACCCAGGGGCACTTTACCACTGAGCTGCATCCCTAGTCCTTGTTTTTATTTTTTATTTTGAGTCAGGGTCTCACTAAGTTGCTCAGGGCCTCACTAATTTGCTGAGGCTGGCCTTGAACGGTGACCCTGCTGTCACAGCCTCTTGAATTGCTGGGATAATAGGCATGAGCCACTGAGCCTGGCCTGGTTTTCTCTTTTCTTTTCTTTCTTTCTTTTTTTTTTTTTTTTTTCCTGCAGTACTTGGAATTGAACCCAGGGCAGCCCCTGGGGTAGTTTTTCAAAATACAAATTCAGGAGTTTTCTCTCTTGAGCTGGGGTTGTGGCTCAGTGGTAAAGCACTTGCCTAGCATGTGTGAGGCACAGGGTTCAATCCCCAGCACCACATAAAAATAAGTAAATAAATAAAAGCATTGTGTCCATCTACAACTAAAAATATTAAGAAAAAAAAGTTGTACTCTTTTTTCCCTGCATTTTTTTTTCTTATTGGTGCATTATAGTTGTATGTATTGATGGGATTTGTTGTTACACGTTCATATATACCTATAATAATTTGACCCATATCACTCCCAAGCACTTAACCCCTCCCTCCCTAAGAGTGTTATTCTTGATTTTTTTTAGGGCGGTGCACTGGGGATTGAACCTAGTACCTGTGTTCTACCACTTAACCTCTCACTCTAAAATTTTGATTAAAAAAAAAAAGTAGGCTGGGGCTGTATCAGTGGTAGAGCGTCTGCCTTGCATTTATGAGGTTCTAGGTTTGATCCTCAGCACCACATAAAAATAAATAAATAAAAATATTGTGTCCATCTACAACTAAAAAATTTTTTTAAAAAAGAGACTTTACTGTGATTTATTTATTCATTCCTTCCTTCCTTCCTTCCTTCCTTCCTTCCTTCCTTTTTAAAGGAGAGAGAGAGAGAGAGAGAGAATCTTTTTTTGTAGAAGGACACAACACAGTGCCTTTATTTTTATGTGGTGTGAGAATCAAACCCGGGTCCCGCCCATGCTAAGTGAACGATCTACTACTGAGCCACAATCCTAGCCCACTTTACTGTGATTTCTGCTTGAAGATCTGTGTCRCTGCCTCAAGAAACTTGTCTCTTTTGTCCAATGGAATGGGCTAGCTATGCATTATGGACTCCTGTTGTGTCTCATTGCCCATTCCTTAGAGAGACAGTATATTTTGGTGGTTAGAAGCAGGAACTGAGTCAGAAAGACCTTGTTTTAATTTCTGGCTTTTATGAGATTTTAAGTTTCTTTGGATTGAAGTTTCCTATTTCTAGAATAGGAATAATCATTGCCTACTTCACATGGTTGCAGAGAGGATTGAGATATTGTGGATGAGATCCTTAGCGGAGTTGAAATTCTAAACTGAAGCCACTCTTATTACTAATGACGATTAATAATAAGTGTCCTTTGTCAAAAGAAAATCTCTCTAGTCCCAGCAAATCAGGAGGCTGAGGCAGGAGAATCACATTTTGAGGCCAGTCTAAGCAACTTAGCGAGGCCTTAAGCAATTTAACCAGAACTTGTTTCAAAAAAAAAAAAAGAAAGAAAGACAAGACCAGGCATGTGGCTCATTGGTAAAGCACTCCTGGGTTCTATCCCCAGGACCAGGAAAAAAAAAATCTCCCCCCACCTTTTTTTTTTTTTTTTTGCAGTGTTGGGGATCAAATACGTGTGCTACCACTGTCCCCCCACCGCCCCCAGAAAGTCTCATCTTAATAAGCCTGTTTGCTCTTCAGACTGAGCTGCATGTAGGAAGCTGCCTTGTGTTAGGTGATTTCATTAAGGTCATTTCTCCTCATCAGAGAAAGCTGGCAACACTCATCAGGTTTCTCATCAGGATAGATATAGTTGGCTATTCCCCTAGAAGGAATGTTAACTCACTAGAGGGTGGTTTGCTGAATAAACACATTGTCTAGGTCTAATTACAATTCTGTGCTTAAATTGTATAAATGAGCTGGAGAAAGTGCAGCCTTAAGGACAACTGTTTCTCTTTGACACTGAGCTACAAATTCACATTTCCTTAGATTTGCTTGGCTCTTAGAATGGAATGCCCCTGCAGATTTTAGAATAAGAATCTGCAATAGATGCTGGTATTCTCTGTCAGTTACAAATTCATAGTTAAATGACTGGCACTTTGGTTTGGCCTTCCATTTCACTCTAAAAGTATAAGGATTTTTGTGTGTGTGTGGTACTGGGGATGAACCCAGGACTTTGCACATGCTAGGCAAGTGCTCTGCCACTGAGGTACATCTTCAATCTCTTATTTTGAAACAGGGTCCTGCTAAATTTCCTAAACTTGCCTCAAACTTGTGATTCTCTTGCCTGAGCCTCTTAAGTAGCTGGGATTATAGACATGTTCCACTTTACCCACCTAATTGTGAGCATGCTACATGGGCAATTTTGGTCCTTTTCAGAGCTTCCCAAGTATATAATGATATTAATGTGCTTTAGGTATTCGAGAGTATTGACCCTTAAGCTTCAGGACAGTTGAGAATAGCTGTCTCCATTGACCCAGGATGTTGTATAACAATATTGTTCTCTGTGTATTGTGGCCCATTGAGAAACTTTGAGATACACAGCTCTGGAAGAATTTAAGCAATTCTGTTTGTTGAAAGCTGGCGAGAGTCTTATTTATTTGAACTCACTTTCTTTTCAGGAATCTCAGTGAGTATTAAGCTGGTTTGTGTTGGCTAGGTCATCACTGAGCTAATTCTTGGTACAACCCTCTGTTGCCATGGTGTCTGATATTATGCTAAGATCGAGAAACATAATGTTTTCATTTGATGGGAGAAAATTATCTCAAAAGGTCTCCTTCCAGGCTCTCAGATTTGAAGTGGCTTCGAGGGCATCATAAGAGTAAATGGGTCAAGGAACTCTTGGTGTGGAACCATCTGGGCTCTAAGTTTCTTAGAAGCAGAAACTATGGTTCCTTCTTTTTGTCTGTTACAGCCCTGAGCAGAATTCTGGGCCCATAGCAGGAGCTCAATAAATATTTGTGAGTTGATCAAAGTGAGTTTGAAAGGATAACTACAAATACATTGTGAGGGTCTGCATTTCTTTTTTGGTACTAGGAATTGAACCCAAGGGCACTTAACCACTTAGCCACATCCCTAGTCCTTTTTATTTTTTGAGTCAGGGTCTCACTAAGTTGCTTTGGGCCTCATTAAGTTGCTGAGGCTGGCTTCAAATTTCTTTCTTTTCTTTCTTTCTTTCTTTCTTTTTTTTTAGTTATACATGGACACAATATCTTTATTTTTTAAATTTATTTTTATGAGGATTGAACCCAGGGTCTCTCACGTGTGAGGCGAGCGCTCTACCACTGAGCCACAACTCCAGCCCCAAGGCTTCAAATTTTTAACTCTCTTGCCTCAGCCTCCTGAGTATCTGGGATTAAGTCATGTGCCATCACACCTAGCCAGGGTTTGTATTTCTGATAGTGAGATGTCTTAGATGGAGTTGGGGGTCATGATAACATGGGGAGAACACAGCAAACTTCAGAACATCTCTCTGAAAGTATTTGCCTACCAACTGTTACTATGTAGAGCAGTGGGTTCAGCTAGAATTCTTGAAAAATGGGGGCCTAAGTTACTGTTTTCTAAAAAGGAGTCATACATGGGTGAGGTGGTATTCTCCTGGAGTCCTAGCTACTTGGAAGACTAAGGCAGAAGTCTGATCACTTGAGCCCCATAACTTAATGCCAACCTGGCACTGACAGGTCTGAAAAAAATTTTTTTTTTAAAAAGGAGTAATGGGCTGGAGATGTAGGTCAGTGGTAGAGAACTTGCCTAATGTGCAT